TTATGGGTTCTGTTGGTTTTTCCTAAAAACCTGTCGGATAGCAGGTTCTGGATTGTTAAGGGTCGATTATCGAGTCACGACTGTAGATGTTTGCATTAAACAAGCTTTGAGCAGCATGAGTTCTGTTGTCATTTTGAGACCAGAATTATTTGTGAATATGCTTCATACAGACCATAGATATGGACCAGTAGGTTACTTTCCTTTTTTTTTTTTCTTAAATCAGTGTAATATCCTCCTGAAGGTCACAGAATGAATGAGGCCTTTAAACACGTCATTACAGCAGCATCAAGTTTATATGTTTACCAAGAATCAAACAACACAGTTAACAGACGACCTGAATAGTGACGCTGACTTTACGTTTTCTCATAGTTAATGATTTTATACCAAATATCTTTGTCTTCATGTTAATTTTCTTCAGAGAAATGGGAGATAAAGTGTCATAAACAGTTGACCTGATATCCTTGTGTGAACACTTTGTTGGATCACTTTACAAACAGTTTCCAGAAACACTTCCTACTATATTTTCTGACCTTTCCAAGAAAACACGAGTCATCAAATCTGCGTCAATCGTTCCACATCCTCTAAAGCGTGTTGTGACATCTGTGCAACGGCTCAGGTTTACTTTGGGTGAAATAAAGACACCGACCAGACGTCTCCGTCGACCACAGGCTCATATCTCAGTTCAGTTTCCCTTTTTCTGCTCTGTGTTCAGGTAGAATTTTAAAACTAATTATTTAAGTCGTCCTGAAGCAAAAACAAAAAATATATTCAACATATTTCAGCTTCTCTGTTGTCAGACTGACTTTGTGCTCTTTTGCTTAATATAAGTTCATAAATCATAACTTTAGAAACTCTCCTGATCAGCGTTTTGATGCGACTCTATCGAGTAAATTAAGACGAGCTGAGCCATTAATAATTTAGGGTAATAATAGCATGTGTGTGGTGGCTACCAGGAGAAATTTAAAGACCACCAAAGGCAGGAGATGAAGGACCAGGTGAGGCCTCTCTGACTGTTTGTTTGTCTCTCCAGGAACGCTGAGGAACGACGGCTGCTGTGGAAACTTCCCAACCTTTCCCCGACCAACCACAGCAAAGGTCAGAGCTCTGCTGCTGCTCTTTCTACCTCTCCGCTTCTCTTCTTTAACCCTCAGTGATGGAGGCAGCTTTGATTGGAAAATGCCGCTCGCTGAGAGGCAAGACACTCGCGTCGGCCTTTTTCTCTCTCTATTAATTTATTAGTCTTCTCGTTAAGATTGGTGCCTGAATTTTCGGCTTCATTGATTTCCCATCGGTTCCACAGTTCCACACCGTGTCAAGACAAATGTAGAAATGAGTAATTGAGAGTTACGTAAAGAGATGTGTGCGCTCCACATCCTCGTCTTTTTAAAAAGCCGGAGCCTGGAGGCGTATCATTACCGTCTTCACAGCCGCATTAGCATTTGAACGTGGCAGCTGCTCTCATCAACCTGGTGGAGACGAACAAAACGAGAGTGAAGGTGCTTCTGAATACTGAGCTGACATAAAGAATCCTGAAATATTCACTTTTTATTTTGTGCCAGACTGATTGTGACTCATATTCCACAACCTTTGTGGCGCACAAAAGAGAGACGGCTTGTAATGGAGGATTCTCTGGCTCTAGTTTAAGATGGGTGCGAGCAAAATTACATCATTTGAGCTCCAACTTTCCTTCACCTATGTGCTTCTTTGTTCCAGACCCGCACACTTCTTCTTGTGGTTTTATCCATCTAATGCTATATTATTACCCCAGTGTGAAGCTGCGCGCCCGGAGAGCAGAGAAGAAGAAGAAGCTATTCAGAGGCACCAGTGATGGATGGGAGGATAAAGTAAAAACATTTATAGTTGGAAGAGCTTTCTGATTTATGAGCCACTGACAAAAGCACTGAAAGGTCACCATAACTCCTTCCTGTCCCTTCAAACACTGTTTTCCTGCATAAAGCCTGTTTCTTTGTGACCAAAGTGTTGAAAGTGCAGCTTTGCATAAACACTGTGTGACAGCGTCGGGTCTGTAATTAATGAGCTTCGCTGGACGTCTCGTTAACACGAGCAGATGTGCCGGAGAAGATATTCCTCAGATTGACGAGGAGCTTTGCGGTAGCTCCTAAATTTCTCAGCAGCGCTTCTCTCTCCTTTCACGCCGGCGTCTTCATTGTATAAATAAATCTGACATGCAGCTCTTCTAAACATCTACATGCAGAGGACCAGGACCAGGACTCCGGCTTGTTCAGGGGCTCACAGGTTGAGAGACGGTTACACAAGATTAGATACGGAGCAGAACTAACAATTATTTTTCTGTTTAATACATCATT